GCCAGATGCTGCTTGCAGCCACGAGCCAAAGCCACCACAGTAAACAGTCTGAATTTGTCCTCTGTACACAACTTCTTCAGTACTGTTTGGTGCCCAGGAAGGAACAAATTACTGCACTGAAGTAACTGCCTCAAGGTCCAGTATAGGTTTTACAGCCTACTGTGCTTTCAGGAATGCCTGAGAGCAGCTATGATTCACTAGCTGGGGAAGTTGCCACCTTCCTCACCACTCCCACGTGTGCCTGCCACTGCCCGCCCAGGCGCATCCATCTTCATCATCAAACCATCAAGGTTAAAACGGACTTTTTCCAGCCTCCAAGAGGTGATTCTTCGTCTCTCCTGATCATTTCAGATGGGAAGCTTAAACAGTCTGACAGTTCAAAGCATTTTGGGTGACACACAAGAACAGGAGAAGAAAATGCAGTGTGGGATACTCTTATCAAAGACCATCAGTTTGTCAAATCCATCACTTTAAACATGCTTGTCAACTGCAACCTCACCTCAGTAATGCTGCATGAGTGGCAAGGTACATCTGGGGCTGCAGATGTGCAGAAGGTGCATCTTAGAGGCATTTTTTTCAAGCACAGATACACAAGAGAACCATAGATCTGATCTGGACTCCAATCTTACATGTTGTCCTTGAGCTTTTGCACAGACCATTTTATTTGAAAGTTCTCAGAATGGTAATTTACAACTGGATAGATGTATGCTTTGAGAGCATGCCTACTAGGCAAATTCTACACTTTGAAGTCTCTGCTGCATGAACTGTGTGGCTTCTGTATTTTCATGGGACATTTTAAAACAATCTTGATTTTGTTTTCTTTTCACTCACTTGTATCCAGCATCTCACACAAAAGAGATCACAGATTTCCTTTTCAAAACACTATTCCTGGAGGAAACTTATTCACAGATACCTCTGCCTCAGAGGTCTATAGTATGTTCCCCCCTCAGCAGCACAGATCCATGCTCAGCCACTTGATGAGAAGATGCATTTGGCAATGCCTGATCTTGGAACAAACTACTCCCGATCCCTGTGCAGCAAGGGCAGAACCGCAACCATGAATGCCTGGCTAAGAACTCCGTGGGTCACCCAGGCTGACCACAGAAAGACATGGAGGTCTGGGAGCACATCCAGCCAAGGGTGACAAACGTGATTTAAGGGACTGAAGCATCTCTTATAGAAGCAAAACCTAAAGGAGAATGGCCTGGTCAGCCTTGAGAAGAGATGGCTGAGAAGGGACCTCATCATTATCTATCGGTATCTGGAGAAAATGTGTCAGGAGGATGGCTCTGGGCTCTGCTCAGTGGTGCCAAGCAATGGGACATGAAGCAATGGGCAGAAACTGATGCACAGAAGTTCCACCTGAACATGAGGAAGAATTTCTTTACCGTGCAGTGACCAAACACTGAACAGGTTGCTCAGAGAGGGCACGGAGCCTCCCTCACTGGAGGTATTCCAGACTGTTCGGACACAATTGTGTGCAATGTGCTCTGGGATGACCCTGCTCAGCCCCGAAGGCTGGATCACCGACCGTGGGCCCTTCCGACCTGCCCAGTTTGTGATTCTGTGACCTGCCGGGCGTGTCACGCAGAGCACGACCAGGATGTCACCCGAGCTCCATCCCATCACACGCCTGCTCCTCGGTGGGGACCAGCACCCTGACAGCCGCGTTCCGGACGGGGCCAGCGGCCTGTCGGGCCCTGCCGCCCGCAGCCCGGGCATCCCCACGCTGCTCCGGGCCGGCGGCGGGACCCCGGCCCCGGCTCCCCGGCGGCGAGCCCGGCCCCTGCCGCCGCCACGGGCGGCGCCGCTCCCCGCTCACCATCTCCTCGTGTCCGGGCCCGTCGGGCTGCCCGGAGCCGCCTTCACCGCCGAGCCCGGGGCTCGCCCGCCCCTCCGGGGTCTTCCGCTCGCTAGCGCCCTTCCCGCGCCGCGCCGCCCGCCGCCCCCACAGATAGATCGCGCCGGCTCCCAGCAGGATGGGCGCGCCCAGCACCAACGCCAGCTGCCACCGGGACAGCCCGGTGGAGCCCCCACCGCCGCCCGGCACCTCCACGGGCTTCGAGGCGGCCATGACGCCCGGGAGGAGGAGGAGGAGAAGGAGGAGGAGGAGGGAGGGTCAGCGGACACGCGGGGTGCGCCGGGAGGGCGCGGGCGCGCCGCCGCTTCCGCCCGCCCGCAGCGCCCCCTGCCGGCGCGGAGGGGCAGCCGCAGCCCCTCGGGGGGAGCCCGGGCGGCGCCGGGCCGGGCTCGGTCCCCGGCGGACGACGCTGGAATGGCCTCGGGGCTGGAGCGGTCCGTGCCGAAGGAGTTCTGAGCCGCTGACACGAGAAGTGCGCTGCACATCTGGAGCGCTGCGTTCAGTTCTGGGCTCCTCAGTACGAGAGAGACGTGCAGCTCCTGGAGCGGGTCCAGGAGAGGGCAGCGAAGGTAATTAAGGGACTCTAAAGAGGAAAGGCTGAGAGAGCTGGGCCTGTTCGGCCTTGAGAAGAGACGGCTGAGAGGGGCCCTCATCAACGTCTACAAGTACCTAAAGAGGGAATACCAAGAAGATGGATAAAGGAACTTCTCGGTGGTCCAAGCAATGGGACAAGAGGCAACGGGCAGAAGCTGAGGCACAGAAGTTCCACCTGAACATGAGGAAGAAATTCTTTTCTGTGCTGGTGACCAAGCACTGGACCAGGTTGTCCAGAGAAGTTGTGGAGGCTCCCTCACTAGAGATGTTCCAGACCTGTCTGGGTACAACCCTGTGCTCTGGGATGACCCTGCTTGAGCAGGGAGGTTGGACCAGATGATCCACTGTGGCCTCTCCCAACTTTACGTTGGTTCTCTAATTCTGTGAAGTTTCAGCTAATGTGGCTGATTCAAACCTTCTAGGACTTTGTACTTAAAAGTTTTGGAGCAATCCGTGTTATAAATTAAATATTCCTGTTTTCTTCCCAGTTATTAATTGAATCTGTCACAAAAATAATTTAATATGTAATACTAGAATTTTGTTCATGTATGTGTCTATGCCTAGTTAAAATCCTTACCTGTAGGCAGAGGAAGCTTATGTTCCTGTCTCCACTTATTTCCATGGAGCACTCAGCTGAAGATGAGCAGGAATAATTTTTGATACACTTTCACAATCAGCCCCAGTCATCTTGTGCCTGAAAATTTCATTGTAGGTAGGAGTGAAATGTTAGAAGACATTGCACAGAAGAAAAAAGGGCTGCAAATAAAATCAACAGTAAGATTGCAAAGCAAACATCTCAGGGTCCCAACTAAAATTTGCCCTGCTCAATCTGAGTCAGTGTATCTGCATGCCTGCAGATACTTGAGAAATGACTTGAGAAATGTCCTTTAATTGATGGATTATTACTACTTATGTAAGAATATTTGGACAAAACTGGGACAATTTTTCCCTATTCTCCCCGTCGCCTCACAATAGAAAATATTTATCTAACAGGTCAATAGCTTCCTGCTGGGACAGCCTCAATTCCAGCCACATCATGCTTCCTGCAGGCCTTCAGATGTGCCTTGCCTGTACAGATGGGTGGCCTCCGGGATGTAAGTCAAATTCAGGCTGTTTGAATATGGCCAGGAGTGTCCTCCCTTACTAGAAAATCAGCCTACACATCCTTTTCATTGCTTCAGGTGTCTTTACTGTACTGTTTCTTGCTCCTGTCCAGGTTGCTGCAGGCATGGTTGTGTCCCCAAGCTCTCATACAGAGACTTACACCTCACACTTACACCCCCATGAGTGAAACTGGAGTTTTGTAACTACATCTGTAGTTCTAAACAAGTTGAGGAAAAGGTTTAATGCTGGACCACTGATTCTCTGTAATGCCAAATTACCAGCAAGCTTTTTGGCATATTTCTGTCCAAGACCAACCAGCATCTCCACAGCAATGCCTGGGCACCAGAAGAACACCAACACACACCAAGGTTTGCTTCCAGTGAGAAGTTCAGTTTGGGTTCTTCCTCCCATGCAGCCTTCCAGCACCATCCCAACAGGCTCTACAGCCTCAGAGCCCTCATTGTCCTCCTGCCAGGCCCCAAACCATGTAACACATCTTCCAGTTTCATACCATGCAGACAACAGTTTTGTGAGGCACAACAGTTTTTGTGTTATGTCAGAGATTTTGAAATAAAGGAGACACAAAAATGACAGCAAAGCATTACAGCCACAGTGCAGTAATTGCAGTACAGAGCCCCGAGGAGACCCTCAGCAGAGACACCACGTAGGGTACATGTGCTCAGTTTAGACACTTAGTCTGAGGGCCAGAAGTCATTCCCTGCTCCTGTTCTGTTGTGTGGTATAGGCAAGGGCTTTATGGTTTACACCCTGGGCTGGTGAGGAGGAAACAGCACATTCTTACCCTGAGTGCATTCAAGTGGGGCAGGGCTTCCCATACTCCTGATATAGCAGATGAAATTACTCAGGTGAAAAGCAGCAGCTGCAAGATTGTGCTGTCTGTCATAACCCAAAAATGAACGAGCAGTTGCTTTAGGAAGGGTTTCTACCTAGGCAGATGACATTTCTGAAATACTAAAGGAAGCATAGGCAACAGAAGTCAGGAGAGAGGGAGCAGCAGGGGAAGAGTGTTCCCTCCCACAGAGCCAGCTAGGTCTCTGCAAGCAGCTGTGCCAGTTTCTGACCAACATCAATATGTCAATTCTGCTTCTCAAAAATCACAAGCCTACTTTGGGTCTGCCCCCTGCAGGCATGTAACTGTGGGCAGTTCTGCATTGGTATTGACAGCTGGGGCACTCAGCAGCAACACAGGGAGCAGCCACAGCCCTGCCACCCACCCCCTGCGGCAGTGTCATATTGGACATCGCTGCAATGGAAAGGTTAAAGGAAAACTAGTTGAAAAGAGATGAGAAAGGGCTGACTTTATGTTTAGACAGTGCCCGGGGCTGCAGTGGGACAGGTTTTGGGGAGGGAGTGCAGAAAAGGTGCTTGAAACTCTGTGTCTGCTTCCTCTTGTTGGCAGAACAGTGAGAAGCTACTGGCTTGGTGGTGGAATTTGACCTTGCTTTGCCTTGTCTGGCTGGGAGAAACCACACGGCCCCCCAAGTTTGGAGCATCTGTACATGGAATATGATGAGGATGATGATATTTTCTTTGCAAAATGGATGAGCAGCTACTGGGGCCACAACTTGATCGATGAGGAGAAAGAAGGCAGAGGCCACAAGAAACGCCAGCCACAGCTCTGCAGTGAAAGGAGGGCATCCCTACCGGTAAGGGCTGTGTGCAGCTTTCTCTGTTTGTGCAGGTAGTGTATGTACAAATATGAGTTCCATTCCCAGAGGCACAGCCCCAGGGATGTATGAGGAGTATGGGACACCTTGCCAAGTAAATTCAGTTCCTGCTGGCAGCTGCTAGTTGCTTTTTGAGCTTAGCTGTCTGACAGGGTCAAGCCTCTGGGGTCTTGGAATACAGACAACTGGCAAACTCCAAGAAAAGTTATGATAGGACCAGAAATGTAAGGAGAAGTTTATAATAGCTGCCTAACTATGTATTACAGAGTTGTTCTGGCTGCTCAGCATAACCTGGTAGACATCAAAACATTTTGCATCTGCATACATAAAGACTACCGTAACAAGTCTGTTCTCATGTGAAAAACTGTATAATTCCATATGTTTTAAAAATTATGCAACTATGTTGTCTCCAGGAAGTTTTACTCTTTACCTCTTGAGACTTACCTGTTTTCAGGTAAGTGTAATTCTATTTTAAGCTAGAGGATAGAGTCCCTCCTGTTTTAAAACATTTGACTCTGAAAACAATGATTCAATACATAACAAAGCTTATTGAACTGTGAAGTAAGATTTTAAGGTAGAAGTACATTATTTATTCTTAAAGCAGTCAGGAAAGGGGCAGGTTCATGTGCAGAAGGCCGCTCACAACTGTCTAAGTGGCTATCAAAATTAGATTAAACTGAAAACTGTTCATAATCTTCTCTTTATTCAAAGATTGTTGCTTTCATTTCAGCTTTTAAAAGAACACTTAGGTAGTCCAAACCTGTCTCCTTTTTTTCCAACTACATCAGTTGTCTTAACAAAGATACTATGTTTCCTTACAAACCAGTTTTTACTTATATCCTTAGGTCATTATGGCTGCAATGAAGCAAATGCTAATGTACTGGGGAGGAGCAGCTAATCTTTTCCAAACTTTTTTTTTGTGCCATTCCATGTTTCCACCTTGCAAGTTCTTCTCCACTGCAGCTGTCAGGTTCTAAGCTGTGGGATTTTTCATTAAAAAAAAAAAAATTGACTAAGAAAAACCAATGAGTTCCAAAACCACTTCCTCCCTCTTTGAATTCATGAGCAGGCTGGAGAGATAACCTTCATTCAGAACTTCTGGTCTGATCAGCCACATTTGTTATTTACTTTTATATTTCACCTCAGCCACAGATTGCAAGACAGAGTCTGAGCTAGAGCTCTGCTGCTGTATTCCATCAAAATGCTGAATACATAACATTTATTAATGGGAGGGGAAGTAGGTTAATTAATTTTGCTGTATTTTACTTTTTTCACTCCGAGATCCATGCATATGTGATTTCTCTAGCCCTCAAAAGAAACTGGAGTGTAAGAATGTACTTTAAATCTCTTTCCATTCAGCAAGGTGCTGAACACATCTTGTATATTTGTGTCTGTATTAGCATGTTCTTATATTCTGTTTGTTCAAAAGTTATTTAAATAGTTAGCTAATAGCTATTCAAATATTTTGCTATACTTGCATTCCTGAATCCATACCTAGAATTTAGATTAAGTTAGCTGACAGAAAGACTATGACTTTTTGATGTTAATTATATCTGACCTTTACATTAATGCTTCATACAAATTTGTCTCGCTCCACTAGTTTCATATAGAAGACGTAAATTTTAACTGCCTTTTTTCTCAGTGCTAGATGTTGACTGGAGGAATGAGACAGGAATATTTGTCTGGGGATTTTATAATTTGCAGATATATTTTAAAATGAGCTCTCGATTTGGAAGTTGAGTAGTTGGTAGTAAAGAGCAGTAGTATGTGCTGACTAACCAAAGCCAGAAGTTAAATAAGTGGGCACTACTGATGCCTTGTAAATCCAGAAAGAGCATCTCCTTGGTGAGAGCAGTAACTTGAGAGCTATTGCATCTAGATGTGTGGTTTTTTGCAAAGTTACTTCAAATTATAACTACTGTAAGATTCATTATTGAAAATTATAACTGTTGTAAGATTCAAAACACTGGTACTGTTATTTAAATATTGTCTTCATTTTATCTGAACAGTGCTAATTATTAGGAGGAATAATAACTGAGATTAGAGTGCATCTCTTCTGAAAGCTAATAGCTCCACAGTGTACTTTCTTCTGTCTCAGCACTGAAAATTGATAACTCCACTGTCTAAAATCAAGTCAGCAAGTTCTGACACAGCTGTTGGGAAAAGCTCCTTGTGCAGATACAATGGTACTGCCAAAAGAGCACTGCCAGCTCACTTGGTCTCATACCCAAGGCTGGTATTCAGAGCACCAGCAGCCGAGCAGTCCTGCCCATGGGAACTGCTTCATCACCATGAGCCTTTTGATGCTGCAAAGTAAAGTGCTCTCAAAGTAGCACAAAAGGTGGTTCTGCTGGAAAATCACTTTCAGCTACAAACTGCTGTATTGGTCTTTGTAGTTTTTCCTGTGCTATAGTGAGACATTCAAGCCACTGCTTCCACCTCAAAGACAAAAATAAACTCCTGTGGTACCCTATCATGGTACAGCCCCCATCCTAAGTATGGATAAAGCTTTGAAGAGTAACTCCCAAACTAACAGCAGTTTTCATTATTTTTTTCCCAGTATCTTTGTATACCTCACGAACACCGCTGAGATGAGCTTTGCACAATGCTTTTGCTATTGTCATTCACACTTTGTAGAGGGGAACACAAAATTATATTCATCCTACACTGGGTCACTTGCAAGTCAGGCTAAAACATGTAACTCCAATCTGTCAGGCTAAAACAACATGTAACTGCTCTGTCCTGGAAAGCTCAGAGTTCTGTATGTTGCTGTGGGCCAACATTTAATGTAAAAACTGCCTGGGGATAATTAAGTCAGCTGTTTCCATTTCCTTTATTTAACTTGTTCCCCTGGCAATCTTTAGACAAATTAACTGTGGTACCTTTTCTGAAGCCTCCAGCTATGACTTTCCTTGTCACATTGTAGTTACCCTACATCATTTAGGTTCAGAACACATCTTACCTCCCAGACATTTTGTTGTAAGGAAAAGATTTGAGACAAAGGAGAACTAATAAGAAGTTTACAGCCCTATACATGAATCCACCTTCAAATAGACATTGTTGCTCACAGGAGAAAATTGCTAGGAGTGGCAGCAGAACAAATGACTGCTGTTGAAGTTACTGACATTTAATTTAAACTAAACTTAAACTGAACATCTACTACAATATTGTTATTATAGACCAATTGAAGGCCAGACCAAACCATTTTTAAGAAATATATGCTTGTCTGTAAGCTTCTTGGAAGGAAATGAAGCCATGCGAGAGCATCTGAATGTCAGATGTTCCAAAATATCTCTAAAATACTCGGGTCATTGTGTAAACTCCAGCAAACAATGAACACTTGTGCTGACGCTCTGAAGATTAATGTTCTTACTGACAGCTGTGCAAGCTCTCAGATCAAGCCCAAAAGATGTAAACAATTAACCTGTCTACAACAGAAACTGAGAAAGTGATAAGGCAAATTATACTTACAACAATTTTTCTTGTGTGAAGTATTTTTGTTTGTGTACCTTTTGTGTGTTTGAGATTGGCAATTAGCAGAAGATTAGCTGTTTTGTAAATAGATACACTGAACATGAGTGGCCTTCACCCAACACAGAAAAAAGGACTACTAATGGGAATAAGAAACAATCCCTGACATCCCTTGGTGCTTCTGGATTTCCCAGCACTGGCAAAAAATCCCCATTTTGATAGTGGAGAATTTAATGTATCATGCACAGGCACTGTAAGAGGAAGCACAGTCACAGTAATATGATTGCATAGACCTGTGGGTGTATCTTTACCTTTAACCCACTGAGGCAGATGGGCATTTCAGAGAAAAGCTCATCCCTTTTCTGGACCATTGCTGCCATATCAGTAGGTAAACTGCAGTCTTTTTGTTAAGGGCTTGACTGTAATTCTGTCTGTGAATGGAAACTAAAAAATAATGTCTTCGTAAAAGAAAACATTTACAGTCTTTGTGAAACAAGATTCATAGAATACAATCCCCCATTTCAGCTGTCTTTCTGTGTTTGGTTTGGGTTTTTTTCCCAAACCCTCTAGGAACAGATACCAGTGATTTTTACCCTGAGACAATTTTTATTTCCAGGAAAGAATATAGGTTGGTGCCATTAAAATGTCAGAGAAGACATTTAGCTTATTGAGCCTGGCATGTCACGTGTGCCCCTGTCCCTTGAGCACAATGTGATTGCTTTGATGCTTTCTAAAGTAACAATACAATATGACCTTACAGAACTTGCAGCTGTATTGACTGGTTTGAAACCAAAGTAAAAATAATATGGCAGAAATCATTAACACTACTCTCAGAGGCAGTTCATAATACTGTTCATAGTATGCTTATGCCTGGGAAAAAAAATGGAACCAGTACCATGTATTTTGCAAACACTCTTCAAATATTAGGTACTTCTGTCAGGTGCAGGATTTATTATTTTCAGCATCTCTCATCAAGCCTGTCTAATGTCATGTAGCTGCAGCCATATGAATGCACAGCCTCTCTATACAGAGAAAGGCTGCATTGGTCCCTGTTGTGCCAGTACATTTAGAGTAGCAGGAATAGGTCATTCAGAGTGAAGGAGGTTGTTTGCTGGGCATATTTCAGATCCCTTGCCGTCCAAGCTTTGTAGATTCACGTGAACACTATACACAGTTGTTTTAGTTTCCCCTGTTTGTTAAAATAACAAAACAACCAATACACACACCACAAACCCTGCATTGAGTGTAGGGTTTTCTACTGGATTTTCTTAGAAAGCATTACAGGACTGGTGGGATAAGCCTTCCTTTGTTATAAACAATCACAGCTCCCTTAAAGCCAGCAGAACTTCTCAGGGTTACTTAGTAGCTGAAGGCTTAACACCAGGCTTATACAAAACAAAGTCACAGAATCAATTGGGTTGGAAAAGACCCCTGAAATCATTGACTCTAATCTTTGACCAATCCACCACCATGTCAACTAGACCATGGTACTGAGTGCCATGTCCTGTCTTTCCTTAAACACCTCCAGGGACAGTGACTCCACAACCTCCCTGGGCAGTCTATTCCAATATCTAGTCATCCCGTCTGTGAAGAAATTCCTCATAATGTCCAAAACATTCAAAAACGTATGCCAGCAGCTGGGTGCTTGTAGTGCTTTAATCTGACACTTGCAGGGGTGTAATTTTCAGTACCTCCTGTCTCTCACAACTTTCACCTTCTGCATCTTACCTGTGTTCAGCTACTCATCCTGAAAATCATCAACAGTTGGCAGGGTTTGGGGTATCTCCAACTGTGTGGTGTCCTTCTCATGCCTCTCTTCTACAAGTCTGTCCCTTTCTAAAACCACCAATTCATGACTCCACATGACAGGACACAGCAGTTCTGTATCAGTTTAATCTGCTTTGCAGACATTCAATTAAACACAGCTGATGCAGATCAATAGCTTTTATCTGCATGCCAGGCCTTGGAAAATTGAATCACACAGAAACAAAACGACTCATTCTGACTTCAGTCCTAAAAATATAATTGCAGAAGTCTGTTTCCTACTACTTCTTTGGTAGGGATGTGTCCCTCAGTACCCTGAAAGTGCTTCTTCATTGGTTCGAGACAAATGTGCCCAAAAAACCAGCAGAAAATTCAAAGCTGGCAAATAAAGCAGCTTGTCTGCATGTATACTGTGCTGAAAACTTGACAGAACTGGATGAGAAATGGTTGCTGTCACACTCTATAAACTCAAACAGCTGATAACACCTGGAGCACTGGTGGGTCAAACCTCTTACCTGACTCATCTAGCTACAAAAGGCTGGGTAATACTTTTTGAGAGTCCTGCCTAGAAACTGCAGCCAGTTGTGAGGCCTGAATTTTTGAGGTTATGAAGAGTCCCAGTTCTTTTTCAGTGAACACTAAGAGGACCCAGCACACTTTAAATTTGAAATGTTCCATTGTGTGCCAAAACTTATATCCTTAAACCCAGAAATAATAGGAAATTCTGCCCTTGCTGCCTCCAGAAAGCAAGTTCTTGGCAGTGTGATTCTCCTACACTTAAAAAGAAAGATACAGAATTCTGGGGAGAGTCTTTCACTTTGCACCAATGTTTGGGAGAGTGTCTGTGGCAGAAAAAAAATCTGCCTTGTGTGTTCTGCTTTGCTATTCAACAGTAAACAAAGACCTGTTGTTTTTCAGGCCAAGCTGTCATCCCTCCATACAACACGACTTCATGCTTCTGCCAAAGGCTCATCTTCAGGCCACCTCAGGGGCTCCAAGGAATTTCAAGAAGACCAAGATGTCAAATGTCACTGCCACAGGAAAGCAAGCAGAACACCTTCAACAGACAGCTCATGTCCAGAGACAAGATCAAACTCCATTCAGGAATTTGCAGTGTCCTTTGAAAAGCAATTGCATCTCAAAAGCAAACGCTCAGTTTCTCTGGTAGGTAATAAGATCACTACAGAAGAAAAAAAGCCAAACCAACCAAGTCAGCTTCATCCTTTGTGTAATTGCTGTGACTTTGCTGGGGGAAGTGTAGAAATAAACTCCAATTGGAATTTCTCATATGTGGTCTCAAATTACTACAAGTAGCACAAACCAGGTTAAAGTTGTGTAATTAGTGTGAGGATTCTTGATGTTCTGTTACTGTGCAGGCATATTCAGAAATGTTGATCCTCAAAATGAAACACCACACTGGCTCATGTGGCAATGTTTTCAGAGGTTTCTATGGCTGTGACCACAAAACATGACAATAAAAACCAAGGTTTGCTTCACTTCTGCTGCAAGACCCAGCTCACGTTTTCACTGCTGCTGACCTGACTTAACCTGTGTGGAGTTGTCTGTAATACTGCCAGACACTGCAGGCTTCTCATTTACCCCTCAGGACTCCATCCATCTGCTTTCTGCAGTGTCACCACACAGCTGCAGCAGCAGCTATTGCTATAAGTAGCAGAACATATTTTCACTGAAAGGGCATGCAGGGGATTCTCTGCCCAATTCATCCTTCTCCTCATAATTCTGTTCACAGCCATGAGCATTTTATCTTGTGTGTGTTGATGAAATAGCCAATAACAACTTTTTGTCTAGACTTTAATAGATTTTTATTATGATACATCGTATCTGCTGAAGAAAGGGTAATAAATCCTAACTCACTTTTAAGTATCAGAAAACCCCATCAAATTGTCACTCCATTAAAAAAGCTGTGCTTGAATAACACCTGACATTAGCATCAAATAACCACAGAAGGAAGCATCCTTTTTTTGTTCCAGGTTCTTGACACTGACAATTTGTATGGAAAAGTAATTTTCAACTCTCTTTGCACAGCAAAAGAGGGGGGAAGATTTCTTTTCAATAGGCAGCATAATTACATGACCAGTCCCATAATTATAGTCCTTGCATGACCAATCGTCTAAGAATATGCAGAATTATGATGATGACAGCACTGTTACACCATGGTCAAAATTTCAAGTGCATTCCCTAATCTTCTTTTTCCTCTTCAGGAACTATTCAATTGCTTTCATTTGGAAATTCACATTGCCTCATGCGCCAGCATTCACCAGTGGTTGTCTGGTTTATCATTTATAATTTCTCAGAAATGCCTGTGGCTAGAAAGTCTGTGAGTGTATAGTTGATGTATGATTAGATAGAGTGATGAGCACAATGTATTAATTATGGCTTCAGTTCCACTTAAAAGCATGGATTCCAGTGCCCTTCTGTAATCAGCAGTGGGATGTGTTGAGCTGTATTTTAATGTGTTTTTCAAGAAGACCAAGTTGTTGCCATTCCCTCAGTCACAATTGTAGTTTGGGAGATGTGAAGGACTTGTGAATCTCAAAGAACTGAGCAATAGATCAGAGATATGAAAGGAAATTTGGGCTTAAACCTGTGTCTTCAAATGGACCATATTTTTTCATTCAGAGCTCTGTGGGTGCAATTCAAACCACCATGACCAGACAGGTGAACAATATGGGAAAGGTAATTAATCTCCTCCCTTGTATATTGCTTTTCTCATATAAATGCCTTTGAGAACCCTTCAGACCTTGTTTTCAGTGAGGTCTTTGCAGCTAGCACTGAGAAGTCTTCAGGGATGTAAAGATGGATCACATGAAAGGATAGAAACATGGAGTATGGGCTGAAATCTCAGAGCCCCTCTCTTTCTCCCTTCTGTCTGCTCTCCTCTTCAAGTCCACTGAGCCTGTGACCCTTCTATCATATACAGAGTAAAATCAAAGCATGTGTGTTGCTTCTTGCTGAGCTTTAGGGTGACTGGCTTGGGCCTTGAATTTGAGCCCATCATGGTAAAGTGATCTTGGTGAGGAAGTTACTGGAAAATTTTGTTATTTAGTGGAACAAAATAATGAGCTTTTTTGTTGTTTTTCTTGTAGGAGTCTCTTTTAATTCCCTGTTATTTTTTTCCTTGCCTTTTAGCAACCTGAAGGTGCAAAAGAGAGACGAGAAAGAGAAAAATTGCATTTGAGAAAAAGCAAGTCTCATAAGAAAATGGGAGAGAAATCAGAGGCAAGGAGAGAGCGGGATGAAGCTGAAAGTTCAGAAGTACCTGCAAAACACAGCAAACAGTTTCCATCACAAACAAGCATTCAGAAAGGTTATGTATCTACAGGCAGCTAGAACGCATTGAGATAATCAATCTTAACAGTCCCCCTGAAGAGCAGAGGGAGCATTACTGTTCTGTTTTGACTAGAAGCAGCCTGTTAGGTAGAATAACCCCTAAGTTGTAAAATAAAAGTAAAACTCAACTGCATCGCTGACACCATGTTACTACCTTCCTGTCTTTACTTTTGTCATTAGAAATATGACCTTTGTCACAGGAGTGTATCAGTAGAAGATCCAAGTTAGAGATTAACCATCATGAGAGGATTTCAGGCATATTTAGCATTGCAGCAGGACAGTGGTGGATGTGTTCCTTTAAGAGGAGGCCACCACCTATATATTACAGAGCCATGCAAAGCCTTATGTTTCTTTTTTAATTGAAAGCAGCTTTTTGGTAGGTTTGGGAAGAAAAAAGTGTATATAAACACCCAACTGCTTCCTGGCCCTAACATTCACTTAGATTTGTCTCAAAAACAGGTATCTTTTTTCTCTGACAGTCTTTCAGCTCCAAATTTATGTAAGTAAGAGAAGAGAGGCCCATGTTCTCTATTACACCTCCCTGATGTCTCACTTCTCTCTGCTTTTCCTGTCACTGTGCAGTGTGACTCGTTTCACTGGCATCTCCCAGCCCTCTGCCATGTCCTCAGTCCCATTTCCCCAGTCACAGTCACGCAGCTAGTTCTTTCTCTCAACTTTACCCACAGAATTCATAGAGTGACTAGGTTGGAAGAGCCCTTAAAGATCATCGAGTCCAACCCATGCCCGAACACCTCAACTAAACCATGGCATCGAGTGCCATATGCAGTCTTTTTTTAAACATCACCTCATTACCTTGCTTCTTTTGTGGCCTTTCCTCTCTCCATTTACTACTTCACTGCCTTGTAGCTACCAGTCTCTTCTGCTAGAGCTCTACTTCTGCTTCATCAACTGTTGAGGCGAACACCCCATGCGTGGAGACATGAGGCTTGACTCCATTTCAGAAGGTTGATTCATTATCTTATGTATTATACTAAAATACTACATTAAAACTATACTAAAAGAACAGAGAGAAAAGAATGATCAGAAGGCTACAAAGAACAGGAATATAATAGAATAACATAATCTTGTGACTTTCAGAGTCCGATGCAGCTGCATCTGTGATTGGCTCTTAATTAGAAACAACCAACATGCACCAATCACAGATGCACCTGTTGCATTCCACAGCAGCAGATAGTTATTGTTTACATTTCTTTCCTGAGGCCCTCAGCTTCTCAGGAGGGGAAAAATCCTAGCAGAGGATTTTTCATAAAATATCATGGTGACAATCAACATCTGAGCCTTGCTGAATATTCTCTAATAAAACCAGAGGTGTTCTGTCTCATATTTCCATATAATATCTTCAAGGGTTTGATGGGGCATTGCAATGCTTTTTCCTTTTCCAGAATTTGGGCCAAACTGTCTGTCTATGGTGAGCAGGACCTAAGAAAATGCTGATCCTATGTCTGAGGATCTCCTGAACACAGGTGTAAATCTCAACTCCACATGGTCACAACCACATACACACTCCCACAATCCCCCTATGCTCCCCTCTCTTCAAAATGCCAGTGTTCTCTGCAGATAAAACCCTTCCCTCTTTGGGACTAATCTTCCCAGGACTAGTATGGAGAAAGCCTGATTTGGATAATATGGGGAGAAAAGAGTGAAGAGTAATGAAGTCATGAGCAAAAGTCAAGGTGTAATGGATATTCTTCCTGTGATTTTTCTGTAATTAACAAAAATCTTACTAATTTACCTTAGAGCCTTACTTTTGAATATTCAGCCCTTTAAAAGCTTAGGGCATCCTTAAAACTTTATAACACTTATATCCTTTAAGGGATTGAGTTGTTTGGTTTATTTTTTGTTTAGGGCTTTGGGGGATATTTAAGAAAGTAATTGAACCCTTACTGATGCTTGTAAATTGCTTCTTGCTGGGTAACATTTATTACAAGCTAATAAATCTAATAATGGAAAAATGTTGTTCCTATGCATTGTTCCTGTCCTTCCCAATCCAGATTGAATTTTTACGAAGTTCGTCTGTAAAAGCCAAAACTTAAATACAGATGATTTTTCCTTTACAACCTTAATCTGCATTACAAAATGTCTGGATAGAAATGAACATGGCCAGCAGTGTCTGAGCTCCTCAGATAAAACCTCTCACATACATCCTTTCAGGTAGCAGCCTGTCCTCACATCTTGGGACAGCTGAATGCCATGACTGCATGGATTTCAGGTCATCAGCTGCCTCCTCCTCTTTTACAGACAGGTTAACTCAACAGGCCCCAGCAGAATTTGCTTGTGTTCATCAAACCAATGTGCTGGTTGTACACCAGACCTGATGGAAAGAAAACACCAAATAGAGCTAAAATAGGAGAGCCCTGTGCGGCTGCCTCTGACTTGCTGGTTGCCATCTCCCTGAAAGCACAGATAAACCTCACTGCCACCAGGGCAGCTGGGCAGCTGTGCCCACAAACAGCTCCCCTGTATTCCACCAAATCCCATTTGTCTGATGGGAGAGTCAGTAAGTGTTTATGTGCTCTTGAAGCAGCCCATCAGCCCCATGGTGTGACTCTGGAAGCAGAAGCTTTCACATAATGCCCTCTATTGACTCAGAAGTGTTCTCTCTTGCTCTGTGTCATGGCTGATTAGACCAACAGCCTTTTCCAGCTCAGTCCCTTCCAGTCTGAGGCAATAGTATTACTTGGATGGACTGAATCTTGCTTGATAGAATGAAATAATTCTCCACAGAAGTACAAGTATTCCATAACAAATTGGGCATTTGGAAAGGCTGGTAACCATCCAAAGAGGAATCTGATTGCAATGGCACGTCTGATATTTTTGTCAGAAAGACCCCAGAGTGTTTCCATTCTCACAGTAGGTCACTAGTTCTGTGGCAGCTGACATAAAAAACAGTCACTGCCTTGATTCCACCCTGAATTCCCAGAGCAACAGGGCTGGCTGCAAGCAGTTTCTGCACAAACACCCATTCCTGGGCAAACACTGTTTGCTTTTTCTGCCCTTTCCAAGAGTGGGATGGCTGCAAGTTGTATCAGAGTCCAAACCCTGGACATGAAGGAAGTCAGGCTTCAGTGGGAAGTGAAGACAAAGGGATGAAGAAATCCATATGCTCACTAATAAGAAATCTTGAAAACATGAAACAGAAAGGGGAATGAGCAGGAAAACTGGTGTGATTCAAGGGACCCATGAAGGAAATATTAAACTTGCTGTGTCTCCCAAGTGGAAGACCATGGTCTGATAAAACACTCATCCCTGTGAATTCTTCCAGCACTTCGGGCTAGCTGGAAAGTGCTCCTGTGGGAAGGGAAGATGTGGGTACATACAAATCTTTCAAGAGCAAGAGAGACTTACACCCCAGTGTTTTCTGTAAGAGCTGAGAAGAGGACATCAATTGGGGTTACCTCATCTGTCAGGTGGGCATTCCCAAAGAAAATATTTATGCTTGCTTCTCAGGTAATATTTAATTGCAGCATGGTTTTGAGGATGAATTAAATTTTGAGTGCTGGTTAACTTATATTGGTATATGAAATGCCATATACCACACATGTAAAATGATGTAACAGCTGTATTTATGTACATGCTCACAAGAACCCTTTCTGGTGAAAAAAAATAGGAAATATTTAAATGCATGAATAAAATAAAAATGAAGCAACCATAATGTATAACTGAAGAAGAATATAATACCTATTAAAAAACCCCTAAAATATTAAATATGAAAAATATTAAAATATTAATCAGCAGGGTTTTGTTCTTTAGCACAAAAAAAGGTATTTGGGTAAGCACAGCCCTGGCTCTGAATATACTCAGTGTATATGTAGGTAGTGTAAAACCATGCAGAGATATAATCAAGCTTGATAACTGAAATTATTCACACAGCAATGAATCATAATCACAGGACTTTGAGTTTATCACAGCTTTCTGCCAAAACTGCTGTAAACAGACAGGTCTTGAAATATTTCCAGAGAGATATTACAGCCAAAATCTAGTCATTCAGTGAAAGAATTGAACACTGAAATACAACAAACTTCATAAAGGATGCTTTGCCTGCAGTTGTTGTGCCAGAGCTTTAGGTAATTGTGTGCGAACAAATGTGAAAATAAACCCACTCATCAAAGAAAACATTGCTCATAGCATGTTGATTTTCATTTTCACTGTTGTTTTAGACTGGCTTGACAGATGCTATTGCTACTATTAGGAGGATCTCTCTGAATCCCAGCTCAGTATCTACAGTTCTTTGGAAAAAGATAATTTTTCTCAGCTGTGTCTTGTCCCTGAGGTCAGATAGAAAATAAGAGAAAGAAGTGATACAGAGAGCATCAATATTCTGTCATACTAGATGCATTCTTGTCCTTCTTATATGCTTGTCAAAATGCTCCAGTTCATACAATTTCTAAACTGACAAAAGTTTTGGTGAATTGAGAAGACCAACCAACCTGTGACAGTTGTACGTGAATTTTCATCAAAAAGCCATCAAGGCTCCTACAGAGAGTCCTCAGACTGGAGAGAATTAGTACTGTTCCTGATAATGAAGTATCAAGAAAGAACTCTTTTTTTGCTCTAAAGCTTGAGCAGAAGGATTCATGGACATGGTTGCCTGCAGCTATATCCCATGGTATGAGGTGAATGCCAAGGTTTGGTCCTTTGAAAACCAGCCCTTCCTGGACCATTATGCAATGGCTCTCATTTGATATACTGCTCTTCCTGTATACACAAAGTACATCTTCAATGGTTCTCATAAGCTTTTTAAATATAGTGGGTCTACTCCCTGAGGACTCCTATACAGAGAAATCTGTCTGTCAGGAAGCATCTACGGTGATTTCAGATTAGCACAAGTTTATGCCTGGCAGAGAGGAATGATTAGGGCATTTCTTTGCTCTAGTGGTCCCAGCAGCAATAAAAGATCTTCAGGGAGAACCAAGTAACTTTGGGCTGCTCTTATCTGTGCAGGACTGGCAACTGCAGTTTAGCCAAGAATTTGGGATAGA